GGCGGGGTGTGTGCTCCCCCCCCCCAGCCATGGAGAGGCCGGAGCAGACAGGCCGTGAGTCAGCGGTGAAGTCGAGGAAGCGGAGTGGGACGTCGGGGAACAAATGGCAACACCCGCTCCTCGGGGTGCCTTTCGCGGGGTCAGCTAACCTGCCCGCGCCCCGTGCTGCCTCCAGCCCGGGTGGGGAGAGGCAGAGCGCTCCGACGGGCCGTCGGGAGCAAGGCCGTTGCAGGGGCCTTCGGTCCGCGGCCCTTGGAAACGGGGACCCTGATCTCGCCTAAATCCCAGTCCCCTAAATCGATGGGAGAGGGGTTTCCCCGCCTGCGAAGGGAGGTGGGAGGGGACGGCCGGGCACCTCCCGCGGACTCTGCTCGGCGGGTTCTCGTCCCGTGGCGGAGGGGCCGCCGGGAAGTTGGCCCCACGCTGCCGTTGGGGACCGTACACTTTTCCCCTCCTTTCGTGTAAATTGAGCCTACTCTTGCGCGAGGGTTTCGGGAGTGAGGTGTGGGATCGTTTTCCTTTCATTACCACCCGCGCTGCTTCTCACTGATTTCTTTAAGCAAGGGCCTGGCCGCTTTTTTGTTCTGCCCCCAGAGATCCCAGACAGCGGGAGAGGTCCCAGGTGAGCTGCACATCCCACGAGCGGTTAAATATCCTGCTTTACACCGCGTCTCCAGACTTCCTTGTGGCCACGCTAATCTCTGGATGGAATAAAGGTATGCAAAAGCGTATCAGGAAGGAGAGCAGACAAAGTCTCAAAAAAACTTCGTTAAAACTCGGCTTCTTGTGAGCTACCCACCCCGCCCGTTTGGAGATTCGTGTTCGAGAAAACATCTGTGCTTTTGTAATATCAGGGAGGGAAATAAAACCCGTGAAGCAAAGCGTGAATTATGCATGTAGTTTATTGAGGGTACAGCTGAAAGTTTGGAGTAAGCGAAGGATAATCAACTCTGTTCACTTACATATTAAAAGCATTAAATCCATCTATCTAGTACACACACAGGAAAAACAACGCATGCATTTAACTACAGAAATATAAGGTGCTCGTCGGTGTGTAATTAAAATCTGCTCTACCGAACCTGGTGTAGCAACTTGGACCAATTTACATAAGCATTACCAACCCCCTCGTAAACAGGAAAAATTGGATTTTCTGGTGTCATTAAAGAAGTTAAATAATAGCTGCAGCTCCATCTCGGACAATTAAAATGTGGCTTCTCTTTCTGAAGTTGGGATGACCAAATTTTTCACCCTTTTGCAATAGCTGC